CATTCCTCATTTCCCGGGAATGTGGGAGCCGAGGATGCCCGGGAAAAAACGGGATAATCCCTGTTTTTCCTAAGGAATTTCTTCCCRAAATTCCCTCCCCGAGCCCGCAGGAACCGGCTGGGATCGGGAAAAACCGCCCGCGGCTTTTTGGGAATGAGWTTTTGGGGAAAATTGTGGGAAAATCCCCAAAATCGCGCGGGTTCGGGCGCGGGAGCCGCTTCCCGCCACTTGGTGGCGCTGTTCGCGCGGGAAAAGGAGCGAAAGTTCGCGGGAAAACCAGGAATGTTCCGGGAATTTGGGAATGTTCCAACCTGGGAATTTGGGAATGTTCCACCGGCAGGGTCCACTCCAGCCCCAGGAATTTGGGAATTTGGGAATGTTCCACCGGGGGGATCTGCTCCAGCCCTGGGAATTTTGGAATCAGGAATTTGGGAATGTTCTGCTGGGAATTTGGGAATGTTCCTGGAACTTGGGAACGTTCCAGCCCGGGAATTTGGGAATATTCTGGCCCGGGAATTTGGGAATTTTCTGCTGGCAGGGTCCGCTCCAGCCGCGGGAATTTGGGATTTCAGGAGTTTGGGAATGTTCCAGCCCGGCAATTTGGGTATTTGGGAATTTGGGAATGTTCTGCCGGTCCAGCCCGGGAAATCGGGAATTTGGGAATCGGGAATTTGGGAATGTTCTGCTGGGAATTTGGGAATGTTCCCCCAGCAGGGTCTGCTCCAGCCCCAGGAAATCGGAAATTTGGGAATGTTTCGCCGGCAGGGTCTGCTCCAGCCCGGGAATTTGGGAATGTTCCACTGGGGGGATCAGCCCCAGCCCTGGGAATTTGGGAATCGGGAATTTGGGAATGTTCCGGCAGCAGGGTCCACTCCAGCCCCAGGAATTCAGGAATTTGGGAATGTTTCGCCGGCAGGGTCCGCTCCAACCCAGGAATTTGGGAATATTCTGGGCCGAGAATTTGGGAATTTGGGAATGTTCTACTGGCACGGTCCGCTCCAGCCCCAGGAATTTGGGAATTGGGAATTTGGGAATGTTCTGCTGGGAATTTGGGAATGTTCCCCCAGCAGGGTCTGCCCCAGCCCCAGGAATTTGGGAATATTCTGCTGGTCCAGCCGGGGAATTTGGGAACGTTCTGGCCCGGGAATTTGGGAATATTCCACCGGGGAAGTCCGTTCCAGCCCAGGAATTCGGGAATGTTCGGCCAGCTGGGTCCACTCCAGCCCCAGGAATTCAGGAATTTGGGAATGTTTCGCTGGCAGAGTCCGCTCCAACCCGGGAATTTGGGAATGTTCCTGGAATTTGGGAATGTTCCAGCCCGGGAATTTGGGAATGTTCCACTGAGGGGGTCCATTCCAGCCCCGGGAATTCGGGAATTTGGGAATATTCCACCTGGAATTTGGGAATGTTGCTTCGGCAGGGTCTGCTCCAGCCCCGCTCATCCCAGAGAAAGACAAATCCTTGGAAAATTRGAAAATTCTCCTCCCCAATCCAAGCTCGGGAAGAATCAAAATTCCCCTGGAGCCAAAATTCCCTTTTATCCCAAAATTCTCAATCTGCAAACACCGGTCCTGCTTTGCCTGGATTTGGGATTTTTTGGTCAAATTTTCCCATTTTTGGGGTCTTCCCATCCCCAGTTCCTGGTTCCTCTTTTCCCCTCTCTTGTTCAATTCCTGATCCCGTTTTTTTCCATGTTTTGATCAAATTTTCCCCCAATTCCTGGTCCTGGGAAAAATGAGATGGGGAAAAGTTGGGCTGGGGATGAATGGGAACGGGAGAAAAATGGGAAAAATGGGGAAAATGGGAGAAAAATGGGAGGAAATGGGAGAAAAATGGGAAAACAGGAGAAAAATGGGACAAAAATGGGAAAAACAGGAGAGGGGGAAAAGTTGGGCTGGGAATGAATGGGAACGGGAGAAAAATGGGAAAAATGGGGAAAACGGGAGAAAAACAGGACAAAATATGGGAAAAATGGGATGGGGACAAGGGAGAAAAAAATGGGATAAAAATGGGGGAAAACAGGAGAAAAAATGGGACAAAATGGGACAAAAAATGGGAAAAACGGGAGAAAAATGGGGCAAAAAAATGGGGAAAAACAGGAGAAAAAATGGGAAAAATGGGACAAAATGGAGCAAAAAAATGGGAAAAATGGGAGAAAAATGGGGCAAAAAAATGGGGAAAAACAGGAGAAAAAAAGGGAAAAATGGGACAAAATGGGGCAAAAAATGGGAAAAA